CTGCAGGAGTGGTCTGAAAAATGGCAAATGAAATTCAACACCAGCAAGTGCAGCGTACTTAATATTGGAAAAACAAATACTGTCAATGTATACAGCCTTAACAACATCAACCTAGAGAAGTCGACTTGTGAAAGAGACTTAGGGGTACCTGTAAGCCCGGACCTACGGCCTAGAAAACAGTGCGTTAATGTTCGAAATAAGGCAAACAGAGTATTAGGTTTTATATCTAGAAGTGTAAGTAATAAGAGTGAAGAGGTCTTATTGCAACTATATCTTGCGCTAGTCAGGCCACACCTCGATTATGCGGTTCAGTTCTGGTGCCTTTATTATAGAATGGATATCAATTCACTGGAGTCGGTGCAGCGAAGAATCACGAAAATTACTCCAGGACTTAGAAACCTACCATATCAAGATAGGTTAAAGAAGCTAAACTTGCATTCCCTACAAAGATGAAGAGTGCGGGGAGATATGATAGAAGTATTTAAATGGGTGAAAGGAATCAATAAAGGGGATATAGATAAAGTTCTTATAATATCCGAGCAGGATTGGACTCGGAGCAACGGATTCAAGTTGGATAAGTTTAGGTTTAGGAGGGAGATAGGAAGGAACTGGTTCACAATTAGGGTGGTGTACGAGTGGAACAAGCTTAGCAACTTTGTAGTAAGTGCTGGAACGCTGGAAAGTTTTAAAAGGAGGCTAGATAGATTCATGGATGATAGAGAGTGGTAGTAACTCTCGACAGGAGCTGCCATGCACAGGCCAACCGGCCTATTGCAGACTCCTTATTTTCTTATGTTCTTATGTTTAATTGTTGTGCAAGTATTGTGGAATTGTTGTGATTAATATAAAGTGAGAAGACTAAGGAGTTGTACACTGGTAGTGTGATAACTATATATTCCAAGTGCGGAGTCAAGCTGTGAAGCCATTACCCTGTTACAGTGTTGTGAAGAATTACTGTTTATTAAAGACTACAGTGCACAAAAGTGTTTCCGTAACCCGGTGGAAATCTACCGGCCTGTTGTTTGTCTGTACACTGATACCGATCGTCGGGGAATTATCGGAGACTAGCGGGACAGCCAGTGATAATTCGACAACTCTTGTGAGATATCTACTGCTCTGTACATACAACCCTAGCCGCTGGTAACCAGTCATGGAAGCTAGGTAAGCTGTGAAAGGAGGCGGGTCGTAACATTACCATCTGTATCTTGTTCTTATATCTATGCATGATAATATCATCGCTTAACTTCTTGTGAGGAGGACGAAACATCTGGGTGTTCTGTAAAGGCGGCGGCACACTGGGCTCTTCTCCCAACATGTTGGGCAAACACGGTCCGGCCAGCAAAACAAAGAGACGTTTTGCGTCACACTGGGATGTTTTGTTGGCACGTCTGCCCAACGCAACGAAAACAACAACAAAGCGTCTCGACGGGTTCGCCATGGATCCAGTTACTACAGTTGAGGCCTTGCAGGATAATGCTATAGTTCTTCAATTGCTGAAGCAAGTGAGGCGTCTGCAAAAGCTAAAAGACAATGGGTGCGTCGTGAAGTTTCTTTAAAAGTGGCGGTGGCTGGCTGGTCAAAGAGGACCCTGAATAATGATTTAATAATACTGAAGAAGTTTTAAAGTGACACATCAATAGAATTATTTCACCGTTTTTTGTGTTATATTTTAACTTGTTATTGTTTTACGATTAACTTCAATTTTTACTTAAAATTTCAACACTTAATATGAAGCTCATTATAGCACTAACCCAGCCAGCAAAGCTCGCCGCCAAACAGTTGTTCATTTCTCGCAACAGCCGAAATCTTGCTGCCAGCAGCCAGCACTAGAATATAACTATGTACTATAACTGATTATATGAAATATTAGGGATTTATGTGAGTCCTGAGAGGGACAATCCTGGACTGGGGTGGGGATGACTTATGTCACTTCATAACCCTTTGAGATGTATTAATGTTTTTTGTATCTCAATAAACGTATCAATCAATCAAGCGGCCAGCAAAAACGGCCGGGAGGAAAGTGCCCAGTGTGCCGCCGCCTTAAGTCTGGTGGTGGAACCTGCTGTGTAAAAACTCGACTCGGGGTAACACGAGACAGCATTGATAAAGATGTCGAACACCTGTAATGGTTTAATGTTTACAGAAATATGAAAGGCAGCAGTAGCAACATCTGAGTTTTTTTAAACATTTGTGAGAATTAAAAGGGGAAAAAGTTTGGTTGGTATCATTACCTAGGCCTAAGGTCCCAGGAGGAATTAATCATCTCACCTCACACCTACACTCGGTAAGGTGCAGGTTATGCACACTGGCTCCTGAATATACCACAACGTGTGCTAAATGCTGGTGGTCGCCTGGTTAATGAAACAACTCACACTGGGTCCTTGGTCGACAATCACTACGTAGATAATTTCACAAGTTCACAACTTATATTCTAAGGACGTTGACTGTGGCAGAGTTGTGTGTTAGTAACTTCTTGTACTTGGGACTGTGGCCTCTAGTGTAGTGGCCATCAACTAATTACTGATAATTATGTACTGTACATTTGACTTAGTGACCATTGAGGTGCTTACAGTATACACAACACTCAAGACAATCTCCTATATAAGAACATAAGAACATAAGAAAAATATGGAGTCTGCAATAGGCCGGTTGGCCTGTGCATGGCAGCTCCTGTCGAGAGTTACTACCACTCTCTATCATCCATGAATCTATCTAGCCTCCTTTTGAAACTTTCCAGCGTTCCAGCACTTAATACAAAGTTGATAAGTTTGTTCCACTCGTCCACCACCCTAATTGTGAACCAGTTCCTTCCAATCTCCCTCCTAAACCTAAACTTATCCAACTTAAATCCGTTGCAACGAGTCCTTTCCTGCTCGGATATTATAAGAACTTTATCTATATCCCTTTTATTGATTCCTTTTACCCACTTAAATACTTCTATCATATCTCCCCGCATTCTTCGTCTTTCTAGGGAATGCAAGTTTAGTTTCTTTAACCTATCTTGATATGGTAGGTTTCTAAGTCCCGGAATCATTTTAGTCATTCTTCGCTGCACCGACTCCAGTGAATTGATATCCATTCTATAATAAGGACACCAGAACTGAGCCGCATAATCGAGGTGCGGCCTGACTAGCGCAAGATATAGTTACAATAAGACCTCTGCACTCTTATTACTTACACTTCTAGATATAAAACCTAATACTCTGTTTGCCTTATTTCGAACATTAACGCACTGTTTTTTAGGCCGTAGATCCGGGCTTACAAGTACCCCTAAGTCTCTTTCACAAGTCGACTTCTCTAGGTTGATGTTGTTAAGGCTGTATACATTGACAGTATTTGTTTTTCCAATATTAAGTACGCTGCACTTGCTGGTGTTGAATTTCATTTGCCATTTTTCAGACCACTCCTGCAGTTCATTTAAATCCTCCTGTAGTGCATTTGCATTCTGCCCTGAATTAATCTGCCGCCCTATTTTGGTGTCATCCGCAAACTTGCTTATGTCACTGCTGATCCCAGTATCTAGATCGTTTATGTAGATTATGAACAAGAGTGGGCCTAGTACTGACCCCTGGGGAACCCCACTGGTTACACAGCCCCACTCAGATGTAACACCTTCTACGCTGACCCTCTGCGTTCTATCTGTGAGCCATGATTTTATCCAATTTAAAACTTTCCCCTCGATACCATGAGCCTTAACTTTTCTCAGAAGCCTCTGATGCGGTACTCTGTCAAATGCTTTGCTAAAGTCTAAGTAAATAACATCGTAATTTTCGTCATTATCTACTACCTCAAAGACTTTCCTAAAAAACGTCAGCAGATATAAACTGGGCGACTACAAACGTTCTCTTCAGTGGACATTTTCAATTAGCTGTACGTTGTGTTAGAAAATATCAAGTATATAAAGATGTACAACTGTGACGAAAAATATTATGAAGCTTCGTCGGGGTTATACAGAAAACACTCCAGACATTAAGATGTCATCGAGGCCAGACCTTGTAAGGGAAAGTGAAAAAGAGTGGAACTGTCTGTTTTTTTTTTTTCAAATGGTGGAAGACTTAGCTACATTTTAAAACGAACAGATATTGGCTGAAAAAAAAAGAAGAAGTTAGACTTCCAAAATTCAGTACAAGTGTGAAAAAGGCAGCTTCAAAACGACCCGCCCTCCAGCTGCCAACAGCCACACAGTACTGCGTAGATTGGGCGACAGTACACAGCGACGGGGGGAGGAAGCAACCAATTAATGGGAGCAGAACGTCACCTGCAATACTTATCCGGTATTGTTCGTGTATTTCTAAATCATTTTACCATATTACTTACATAAAATAACAAATAATTATCATAATGGTTACAAACATTCTTTCAAACCTCACGTTATTACAACTTCTGGTTTAATTAACAACAGTTTCCTTTTAAAAGCAACGTGCTCTTAATATACGGACAACATGGTTTGCAACTGATCATCTGATTGGTGTGCAACGAGTCATTAGATAATTGGTTGGAGAGTGATAACGTCAGGACTTGAAGTGTTCAGCTGTACTCATAGGGGGCTCCACCGTCCCTCGCGGGCAACTGATGATGGTAACTTGAAAATCTTCATGTATAAGACCATTGGTATTCGTTAGTATTATGCGAATAAAAGACATAGAATATTGATGAGTAAGTCTGATAAGATTCTGATATCAGGCAAAAACAAAGTTTTAACATTCATGGATCCGCTGCCATGTGAGTACTGTTATCGGGTGGTAATCAGTATGTTCCGTGTACAGTATATACCAACAACTGCTGCTGGTGAGTGTGGTGTTGAGCAGTAGCGCCTTTACCACTGTGTACTGCGGACCCTGTTGTTGCTTCTCACCAGATTACACAACTAAAGTAGAGCCCTGACTCCATCACGAGTTTTCCGGATGTTTATATTGTGAAACGGAGAGAAAGTGCAAGAGTGAGGGAGAGAAGGGTAGAAAATAAGTGAAAGTTGATTCAAAGTTGTGTTATTACTACAGTAGGACGCCTTATCACCAGTGCCACCGCAATAGGAGCAGTTGAGCGTCGCCACGACCATGCCATACAGACGTGAGGGTGACGATTACGTCCACCACCAACCCAAGTCAGGTGAGGTCCTCGTGTTCTGTTACGGTGTTCACTCATTTCGGCACCACCTACTGTATTATCTGGATAAGGTCTTTTAGGTTAGGTTAGCTCAGTTTAGGTTAGGCTAGGTTAAGTTAGGTTACGTTACGTCAAGTTAAGTTAGGTTAGGTCAGGTAAGGTTACGGCAAGTTAAGTTAGGTTAGGTCAGGTAAGGTTACGACAAGTTAAGTTAGGTTGGATTTAGGTTAGGTCAGTGAAGGTTAGATAAAATTAGGTTAGGTTAGCTCAGGTTAGGTTAGGTTAGGCTAGGCTAGGCTAGGCTAGGTTACGTCAAGTTAAGTTAGGTTAGGTCAGGCAAGGTTACGACAAGTTAAGTTAGGTTAGGTCAGGTAAGGTTACGACAAGTTAAGTTAGGTTGGATTTAGGTTAGGTCAGGTAAGGTTAGATCAAATTATGTTAGGTTAGCCACGGTTAGGTTAGGTTAGGTTAGGCTAGGCTAGGTTAGGTTACGTTACGTCAAGTTAAGTTAGGTTAGGTCAGGTAAGGTTACGACAAGTTAAGTTAGGTTAGGTCAAGTTAGGTTGGATTTAGGTTAGGTCAGGTAAGGTTAGATCAAATTATGTTAGGTTAGCCACGGTTAGGTTGGGTTATAGTTAGGTTAGGTTAGATTCGGTTCTATTAGATTAGCTTATCGTTAGGTCATATTAGCTTGTCACGTCAGTTCAGATTATATTAGATTGGGTCAAAACGAAACCACAGGTCCTATTTTTTTACCTTGTCCCGAAATAACCTTCTAGGATAAATTATATGTTCAGCGAAAACAATAAACAATGTCTTATTATGTAGAGTAGATGCCTGATGCATGTTATTATGAATGTTCCTATAATGTGTAAAATAAAAACAATAATATCCTGATGACACTAAGGAAAATAAACATGAATACGACGGTGAGTTTATGGCGCCATCATAACATAAAGCGACTTGTTTCGTTCTCATTGTTCGAGTTAACGTGAATATAGTGCAGGATCAAGACCTGTCAAAGACCTCTGTAGTGTGTTCTTCATCACCCACTACTGCTCCTGAGGTCGAGCTTCATGGCTAGAGAATATTTCCACACACCTACATCCATCCTTCCTTCCCACCTTTATTAAATTCTTGACGGATTATTATTTCAAAAGACAGACTCGTGCCTCGTACTGAAGTCAACTACTGTACTGGTAAGCCTGAACGTGATGTCAACAAAGGTCTGGTGATTTTTCTCGGTCTGTTCATAATTGTTCATTCTTCTTCCACATCACGTTCCTGCAGTGTTTCCTACCTACAATACTCACATTATTTTAGTTTATATTTAATTCCACAAGTTTTTCACTAGTGAAAATAACTAACAATGGCTCTGTAGCCGTTAGAAGAACTAATAACGATAAGTTTCATACAACTCAACAACTTAACGACTGCAGGGTGAGGGAGAGTGACTCCGCCAGTTGGGTTACACATATAAACGTGTCTCTCCTTCCTGGACTGAGGTTAGTCAGTAGATCACAGTCCAGTGACCTACTAAGAGACTAATACTATTCCTTACTCCTACATATAACAATAAACCACTTAACTATTATACCCAACATAAAAAAGTGACCTTCAAGAATGCCGTCGTAAGTAGTGATCCTCTGACAGATGGACCAAACAATTTAGTACAACCTTATGTACTGTGTCACCATCTGCCTCAGTGCACTGGGGATGGGCAGCTGACGTCACCACCTCCTTGCCTTCCCCTGGTATCGCTGGAAATCAGTCACCATCGTGGTATTTCCAAGGCGGGCAGGAAAACATACCACTACCGACTACAAACCGATACTAAATTCAGTTCCTGTATCTCAATTCTGTAGCCCAGTTGAAGTTTACATAAAATACGGAATAAACCAAAATAAAATGGACCATAATGCATAACACTGTGAAGCAACATCCCCTAGAGCGGCGCCTCGACTGTGCAGTATCTTGGTACTTGAGTCGCGCTGTGCACGTGGCTGAGAATCACTCTACCACACCACAATATATCACGCCCAAGATAACACTTATCTATGATAACATCCTTGATGAATTCACTATAAAAGACCAATGATTTATTTTATAGACAGAATGAGGGCATGGAAATCCCAACCAATCAAAAAATAATGACAGGCAAGCTTCAACCAATCAAAGAATAATGACAGGCAAGCTTCAACCAATCAGTGAATTTAATTACAGGGAAACTTCAACCAAGCAGAGAATAGCGACAGGTAAGCTTCCACTAATCAGAGAACAGAAACATAGAAACCTCATCCACACGACCATTCAGACACCAACAAAAGCCGCCATCAACACTGAACAAAAACAGAAACTCGAAATATTGTTGCTGGGTCGCCTTCACCCCGCGTTGTCCTCCTTGATCACACCCACAGCACGGCGACGGCGTGGACTTGCTGCCAGGCTGCAAGGTTGAATCTGGACTGACTCCTCAAGCACATACACAACCAAAACTACCCCCTCTCTTCTCTAACCCTTTTCTTAACCCTTTGGTTGCGGGAGGTTACCCTAAGCTGAATAAAATCGCCTGGCGGTGGCCAGAATAAAATGGCAAGTGTGGGAAACGCAGCGAAAGGGTAAAATATCAAAACCCCTGTGTTCATCTCCCTCATTGAACTCTACTAGCTCACTCTCAAGCTTCGGGTCTGTGAATTCTCGAAGACGTGTGGACTGAACTCTTTCTTTCTTCCTCATCACTTTATAAATAACAATAAAAAACATAATCCGTGGTCCAAACTGCACTAAAACGATGAACCTTTATCTAAATCCCGGGCAGAGATCATCAGCTGAGTGAGATAATCAGCTGGTGGGATGAGATATAGTTTATGATCCCTCAGTAGCGGGAAGGATCACAAGCCTTACAAACCAGACGTGCCTTTTTTTATACGGGGATTAGCCCACCCAGGCACAGGTCACTGACTCACATCGGGGCCTGGGGGAGAAAATATAATAATAATAATAATAATAATAATAATAATAATAATAATAATAATAATAATAATAATAATAATAATAATAATAATAATAATAATAATAATAATAATAAAGAACCACAAATAAATATAAAATAAAAAAATATATATCAAAAGTGAGAAACAATATATGTCTAATCTTGGGATGTAGATTTGAGTTCTCTTAATGGCGCTATTCCGACTGAACGTATACTCCTATAGTAGATTCGAGTCCTTTTAAAGTTAAAGTTATTTTTGGCTAAGGTCGCGTCCAATGTAGCCTCAAACTATCGATGCCATTGTTGATTAAAAAGGTGTTTTCATCGGTGCAGTGATTGTAATTAAACCTTAATTGAGCAAGAGACATGGGCCTTCGTGTGTGAGGATGACGGTGGTGATGTTGACGAACGGGCAGAGCAGCGATAACTGGTTGGGTGAACGTAAGAACATAAGAAAATAAGGAGTCTGCAATAGGCCGGTTGGCATGTACATGGCAGCTCCTGTCGAGAGTTACTACCACTCTCTATCATCCATGAATCTATCCAGTCTCCCTTTGAAACTTTCCAGCGTTCCAGCACTTACTACAAAGTTGCTAAGCTTGTTCCACTCGTCCACCACCCTATTTGTAAACCAGTTCCTTCCTATCTCCCTCCTAAACCTAAACTTATCCAACTTGAATCCGTTGTTCCGAGTCCTATCACCCACTTGAATACTTTTATCATATCTCCCCGCACTCTTCGTCTTTCTAAGGAATGCAACTTTAGTTTCTTTAACTATCCTGATATGGAAGGTTTCTAAGTCCCGGAATCATTTTCGTCATTCTTCGCTGCACCGACTCTAGTGAATTGATATCCATTCTATAATAAGGCCACCAGAACTGAACCGCATAATCGAGGTGCAGCCTGACTAGCGCAAGATATAGTTGCAATAAGACCTCTGCACTCTTATTACTTACACTTCTAGATATAAAACCCAATACTCTGTTTGCCTTATTTCGAACATTAACGCACTGTTTTCTAGGTTGTAGGTCCAGGCTTACAAGTACCCCTAGGTCTCTTTCACAAGTCGACTTCTCTAGTTTGATGTTGTTAAGGCTGTATACATTGACAGTATTTGTTCTTCCAATATTAAGTACGCTGCACTTGCTGGTGTTGAATTTCATTTGCCATTTTTCAGACCACCCCTGCAGTTTATTTAGATCCTCCTATAATGCATATGCATCCTGCCCTGAATTAATCTGCCGCCCTATTTTGGTGTCATCCGCAAACTTGCTTATGTCACTGCTGATCCCAGTATCTAGATCGTTTATGTACATTATGAACAAGAGTGGGCCTAGTACTGAGCCCTGGGGAACCCCACTGGTTACACGACCCCACTCCGATTTAACACCATCTACGCTGACCCTCTGCGTTCTATCGGTGAGACATGATTTTATCCAATTTAAAACTTTCCCCTCGATACCATGAGCCTTAATTTTTCTCAGAAGCCTCTGATGCGGCACTCTGTCAAATGCTTTGCTAAAGTCTAAGTAAATAACATCGTAATTTTCGTCATTATCTACTACCTCGAAGACTTTCCTAAAAAATGTCAGCAGATTTGTTAGACAAGATTTTCCCTTTGTAAACCCATGTTGAGAGTCGTAGATTAATTTGCTTTTCTCTAAATGTGATCGGATGTTATCTGCTATCATTGATTCAAGAAATTTCCCCACTACTGACGTCAAACTGATCGGCTGGTAATTTGACACTGATGCTCTGTCTCCCTTTTTGAATATGGGTACTACATTTGCCTGTTTCCAAAAGTCTGTTACAACTCCGGTGTCTAATGATTTTGTAAATATGTTTACTAGAGGTCCGCTAATCTGTTCCCTACACTCTTTCAAGACTTGAGGGAAAATTTCATCAGGCCCTGGGGATTTTGTCTTCTTTAGTTTATTTATTTTCTTAAGACCATCCTCTTTTCTGATAGTGATAATATTTAATTTCTCTTCTCCCTTTCCCTTAAATATCAGTTCCACCTCTGGAATTTCATAGTGAATTTCCTGTAAAAACTGATAAGTAGCTGTTCAATGCTTTGCTTATTTCTTCACTGCCATTTATCACTTCTCCCCTCCCTGACTTTAAAGGCCCAACTTTGTCCTTGACCTTTGTTCTATATACCTGGAAAAATCCCTTGGGATTCGCCTTGGATTCTCTTGCTATTTTGATTTCATAGTCTCTGAGCTGCTCCTCCACTCCCTTTAATTTCTTATATATTCCTTTCTTTATTCCGATGTCATGTTTAAGTTTTCTGGTCATCCACCTTGGCTCATTCTTATTTGACCTAATTTTTCTGTATGGTATATTCTGTTCTTGTGCTTTATGTAGTATACTAGTGAATACAGTATATTATGGTCATAATCAATTGTTGTGTCATCTATGACCTCACCCCTTCCTACTGGTGACTGACTGGTGACTGTTCCCAGGTGACCTCACCTAGGTACCTTCTTAACCCCTGATAATCCGCCAACCGAAAGTTTGGGACTCTGACCATATTGTCATTGCTTTTCGTTTCCCAATTTAGGGTGAACCTGATTTCTCTGTGATCACTGTTACCTAGTTCTTCCCCTACTGTGATATCTCTGATAATATTTTCTTTATTTGTTAATACTAGGTCTAATATATTGTCACCTCTAGTAGGTTCTGTAATTAGTTGTTTCAAAAAATTGTCCTGTACTGCATCTAGGAAGTCTTCAGATTCATAGTCACCTACAATGTTGTCCCAGTCAATATTTCTGAAGTTGAAATCCCCCATAATGCACAGGTTGTTATATTTTGCTGCCCTACTCATTTCCTGCCATATGGGCTGAGCTGCTTCTTTCCCAAGACTTGGGGGCCTGTAAATCACTCCCATAATTAGTTTTTCTCTTCCTTCCGTGATTTCTACCCATACAGACTCGGTTCCTATTTCACCCTTTATTGAATTATTAATACAACATTTTAATGTATCCTTGACGAAGAGTGCGACCCCTCCCCCCTTCCTACCTTCCCTGTCCTTGTGAAAAAGGTTGTACCCTTCTATGTGGTACTCTGATAAAAAAATTTTGCTCGCCAGATTCATCCAAGTTTCGGTGATTGCTATGACGTCTACATTCTCGGTACATACAACCGCTCTCAGCAAGTCTATTTTATTTCGAACGCTCCTACTGTTTGTATAGTATACATTTAAACCTACCCTTCCCTGGTCCTGTTTTACCCCTTGTCCTGAGTAACCAATTTTACTTCCCAGGACCAGCTTGTTTTTTGACTCCCACTTACCCAGACCTCTCTCTACTGGCGAAACCCCCCCTTTGGAGTAACAATTTCACGCTTCAGGGATGCAGACGTCTTTATCCCCGCACGAGACAAGTGTACTCCGTCACGACTGTACAGGTAGTCATTGCCATAGAATCGTTGCCAGTTATCAATGAGTGCCCAACTATTGTTTGCACAATGTTTTTCCAGTCGTCAATTTATAGCAATTGCCCTGGACAGCCATTCACGACCAACCCCTCTTCTAGGCAAGACACCACATATTATCGGGATCCCTCCCCTCTCTCTAATCTTCCCCAGCGCCTCCCTATACCTCTTGAAAAGTTCCTCACTCCTAACCTTTCCTATGTCGTTACCTCCCACACTAAGACACACTACTGGCTTGGTACCCAACCCTGACAAAACCCTATCTATCCTCTCAGCTACATGCCCTATCCCAGTCCCAGGAAAACACACCCTAGTCCTACGTTTCCTATCTCTTACACAAAAAGTCCTATCTAAAAACCTCACCTGGCTGTCCCCAACTACCACGACCTTACCTGTGGGCAGGGTTTGTACAACTGCCCTTTCCTCTCCTTGCTCCATACCGTCCTGCCTCTTCTCTTCCTCGCCAGCTTCGTCCAGCACCTGGTAGGGGTTACTACACTCCACACCCTGGTCAGCTTTCCTGAGTCTGACCCTAGTCCCCTTGGAGACAACCACTCTCCACGCCTGCTCCTCCTTCGCAGGTGTCCTGCTAGGCAGGACACCTACCTGAAGGAGTTCAGTCCTGAGGGCTTTATTTTCCCCCTTTAGAGTGTCAAGCTCACTCCTCAACTGCCCCAGCTGCCTTAACAGAGTGGCCAGTAGGTCGTCTTTCCTCACACCACGCTCCTCTTCCCCCAAGACACAACTATCCAAGGCGGCCATTTTCCTTGGTCACTAACGGGAGCACTAGGGGCCACGACCTACGAGTACACTACCCACCGCGCCTCTCCCATTATCCCTGCGCCTTTCTGTGTTATCAATAAGACATCCTATAACCCCCTTACTACGGGACGACACTTTTAACAGTTTGGCTAACGTCAGACGATTTTATTCAGCACGGAAGCCCCCCCCATACCCAAATGAGTAATGCAAGTTCTCCTCAGAGGTATATATTGTTTTTATATGTTGATTTAACGGGCGCAGGTGACGTCCTCTGGATGGTAACGGTGTTTCTGTCGTCTCCCCCCAGTGCCTCTCACCCCTCCCCGTGCCATTCTGTTTGTCATTTCAACAATGTCAAGTCTTTTTGTTGAGGTTAATGACATCAGTATGTTATATAGTTTGGGAGATCACCCGGAACAAAACACATACCGACACACCTACACAAAGACAACTCTTGACTGATAGGTATTCACAAAGTATTGTATTGGGTCAGTCAGTTCTCCGTCACTCACTGTTGTCAAGTACTGGGTGTATCCGGAGTCTTGAATGTACCCCAACAGGTTTCAGCGTTGGTCAAGGAGCTCACACTCGGTGCCGTCACAACATTCTCTGGCAGGTTATTCCAACACTGCACAACTCTTACACCAAAGAACACACGGTAGTTCTGTCGGTTTTCTGTACTGAAAACTTCTATAAGTAGAGGCAGTATAGTCTAGTGGGGCGACCATCCGCTACCTCCAGATATGTGTACATTTGCCCTTTGAAATACTTATAAACTTCTACTAAATCACCCCTTACCCTTCTAAAGAAAAGTACAGTATAAGTATTGTAAATATTATAGTATCCTCGTTAGGTGAGGTGTGTGAGGTACTACACCAGTGGCACTTGTGTATTAACAAGAATAATCTGCTTTTCACCATGAACCGCGAACTTCACTCCATTGTCCCATAAACACCCGAAGTTTCTCACATTTAGTTTCAGTTCGGGAAATGTTTTCGCCACGTTGGGACAGGTAATCGCTTCCCTTTATTAATGGTATTAGTCTTAGTGTTATCCCCCAAAAGACACAAGTTTTTTATAGTTTTTCGCAACTTTGACTTTTCAGAGATGTTCCCTAGAAACAATACCCGTATATGTATGGTTCTTAACAATCAAATTTCAACCTTTACAATAATTAAATGAAAGTATCTTGGCGTTGTTTATGTGTAACTAAAAAAATCAACAGAGAGAAATGGACAATCCACTAGCCCCCACACTTAACGGAAGGGGATTATCAGTAAATATATGTCTCGGCTATGAATTAATACAGTAAACACACACACACACACACACACATCTAACCACATAAAAGGTGTTTGTATGGACAGGTAACGGCAGAGCTATGCAACCTTCCCGCGCGTCGTCGTCAACAGAGACATCGATGCCGCCCCAGTACACATGGCTGGAGGGCTTGTGGATGGCGATAGTGTCGATCTCCTACCTGCTGGGCTACGGCATCCAGATCAGCATCATCGTGGAGAAGTACAGCCTGGGCGACGACCGACCCCCCAACTGTGGCCTCTACATCTTCTTCTTCCTCGTCCCACACATTATGGCCGGCCTCAAGAACCTTCAGTAGTGAGTCCCGGCCTCTACACCTGTACTATACAGTACACCTCTGGACTTGTATAGCTGACGTCTGGACTGGTATAGCTGACGTCTGGACTAGTATAGCTGACCTCTGGACTTGTATAGCTGACGTCTGCACTGGTATAGCTGACGTCTGGACTAGTATAGCTGACGTCTGGACTTGATAGCTGACGTCTGAACTTGTATAGCTGACGTCTGGACTAGTATAGCTGACGTCTGGACTGGTATAGCTGACGTCTGAACTTGTATAGCTGACGTCTGGACTAGTATAGCTGACGTCTGGACTGGACGTCTGACTTGTATAGCTGACGTCTGGACTTGTATAGCTGACGTCTGAGCTGACGTCTGGACTAGTATAGCTGACGTCTGGACTTATTAGATGAAGACTGAACTAGTATAGCTGAAGTCTGGACTAGTATAGCTGACGTCTGGACTGGTATAACTGACGTCTGGACTAGTATAGCTGACGTCTGGACTAGTATAACTGAAGTCTGGACTAGTATAGCTGAAGTCTGAACTAGTATAGCTGACGTCTGGACTACTATAGCTGACGTCTGGACTAGTATAGCTGACGTCTGGACTAGTATAACTGAAGTCTGGACTAGTATAGCTGAAGTCTGAACTTGTATAGCTGACGTCTGGACTAGTATAGCTGACATCTGGAGTAGTATAGCTGACGTCTGGACTAGTATAGCTGAAGTCTGGACTAGTATAGCTGAAGTCTGGACTAGTATAGCTGACGTCTGGACTAGTATAGCTGAAGTCTGGACTAGTATAGCTGAAGTCTGAACTAGTATAGCTGAAGTCTGGACTAGTATAGCTGAAGTCTGGACTAGTACAGCTGAAATCTGGACTTGTATAGCTGAAGTCTTGACTGGTATAGCTGACGTATGGACTATTATAGATGAAATCTGGACTAGTATAGCTGAAGTCTGAACTAGTATACCTGACGCCTAGACTAGTATAGCTGAAGTCTGAACTAGTATAACTGAAGTCTGCACTAATATAGCAGAAGTCTGAGCTAGTATAGCTGAAGTCTGGACTAGTATAGCTGAAGTCTGGACTAGTATAGCTGAAGTCTGGACTAGTATAACTAAAGTCTGCACTAATATAGCTGAAGTCTGGACTAGTATAGCTGAAGTCTGAACTAGTATAGCCGAAGTCTGGACTAGCATAGCTGAAGTCTGGACTAGTATAGCTGAAGTCTGGACGAGTATAGCTGAAGTCTGGACTAGTATAGCTGAAGTCTGGACTAGTATAGCTGAAGTCTGGACTAGTATAGCTGAAGTCTGGACTAGTATAGCTGAAGTCTGGACTAGTATAGCTGAAGTCTGGAACTTAATCAGTAAATAGCTAACGTCAGGACTTAATAGACCTCTGGACTTATGTAGCAGGCGTTTGACTTAATAGACCTCTGGACTTATGTAGCAGGCGTTTGGACTTAATAGACCTCTGGACTTATGTAGCAGGCGTTTGACTTAATAGACCTCTGGACTTATGTAGCAGGCGTTTGACTTAATAGACCTCTGGACTTATGTAGCAGGCGTTTGGACTTAATAGACCACTGGACTCATGTAGCAGGCGTTTTGGCGTAGCAGGCGTTTAATAGACCTCTGGACTTATGTGGCAGGCGTTGGACAATAGACCACTGGACTTATGTAGCAGGCGTTTGGCTTAATAGACCTCAGGACTTATGTAGCAGGCGTTTGACTTAATAGACCTCTGGACTTATGTAGCAGGCGTTTGGCTTAATAGACCTCTGACTTATGTAGCAGGCGTTTGGTTTAGACCCCCAGGACTTATGTAGCAGGCGTTTGGATAGACCTCTGGACTTATGTAGCAGGGCGTTTGGACTTAATAGACCTCTGGACTTATGTAGCAGGCGTTTGACTTAGACCCTGGACTTATGTAGCAGGCGTTTGACTTAATAGACCTCTGGACTTATGTAGCAGGCGTTTGGACTTAATAGACCTCTGGACTTATCTGCAGGACGTTTGGCTTAATATGACATATAGCAGGCGTTTGGACTTAATAGACCTCTGGACTTATGTAGCAGGCGTTTGGACTTAATAGATCTCTGGACTTATGTAGCAGCCGTTTGGACTTAATAGACCTCTGGACTTATGTAGCAGGCGTTTGGACTTAATAGACCTCTGGACTTATGTAGCAGGCGTTTGCACTTAATAGACCTCTGGACTTATATAGCAGGCGTTTGGACTTGTGTAATAGACGTGTGAACTTGCGTATTGGACGTCTTTATCAATACTGAACAGTACCTCCTGTACCAGGGACTTTAGGTCGTGGACTCAAGAACAAGCTAAAGCGATTTGTATGTATGTATGTTTGTATGAATATATGTATGTATGTTATATGGTTATGTGCCGCTGTGCGATTTACCTTCTTTACTATATTATATTTCATCACCGGTGGTTCTTTTCCACTTAAGAATTAATGATATAAATGTACTACTAATTTGCCATTAAAAAACACAGCAAATTATACTAATTACGTGTTTACTTAAAATGTGTGCATTTATGAATCTTTGTGTGTGTAAAGTTATTCTTATCGAGATAAAGTCAATCAGGAAGAAACAAAAGAAGAACGAGGATTTCTATTTTGTCTTCGTAGTTGTTGAACGTATTAATCCTCCCTCTATCACGGGCACCACGTATGTTTATGATGAATGTAATGGTAATGTTTTCTGTGTGTGTCAGCCACTACCGCGAGGCGATGGAAGAGGATGGTGAGGACAGCTCCCTGGGGTGGATCATCAACATCGTCTTCCTCCCCTTCAGCCCCCTCATCAGGTAAATTCCCTCCACCAGGTAGGTCCCCCCTTCACCTCTTTACTTACTACCCTCTTCACACCAGCTTCTCCCCCCCCCCTCCCCTTTAACATACCAGACACTTTCAGGTTCCTTAAACTATAACATTGTTGAAATTCTGCCACCCTGTTATACAACTGCTGGAACACCAGTACCGTATCCACTTAAGCTGCAGTTACCTTACACACACATGTGCCTCACCCACAGGTTTGTACGGGCGTGGAGGTTCGGCATGGGGGAGAAAGACAACTGGGAGGACGGCATTAGGTGGGTTGACTCGCGACTGTGTTTAGATTATTTTGAGAAAGTGAATCTTTAATACCCTGAATATCCTATAATTTTATACATCGTACAGTAAATGCAACAGAAAAGAGGTAACGGAAAAAATTGGTAGGCAAAATCGTAGCTGCCAGCGTAAAATATTAAAACTAAATGACATAAAATACAGAGAAAATGTACCGTACTGTAGTTGAGAAGGACATTGTAACCTTAAAATAGACGAGATGGTGATAATGGAAGCTGGATGAAAAAGAGAACAATAAATACAGAGAGAGATAAACAACTGACTTGACTACAACAGATACGTGGACGAGATGGTGACAGTGGGCGTCCTGCGGCTGTTTGAAGTGTTCCTGGGAGACGGACCAACACTCTGTCTGCTGCTGCGAGATGACGTCTGGGGTCGCTCAACTGACTGGTCCGAAACCATCAATGGCAAGTCTTATTCGCACACCCAGTAATTAGTAAACAAACTGAAGTATATCGAGAATGTTTAATGTCTGAACACCATCTCAACTTAGCGCCCAATTCAGTGAACACCTGCAGTCTTACACCATTGAACACCTTTTCTAATGAAGAAATTCTATCACTACCGTCACCTCCCAAACTGAACGTCTCCCTAACTAAGCTAGCTTACTTAGTTCAGTGTTGCGAAGCCAAGGCTAACCAAAATTTAAATTTACAAATCTAACCAAACTTAGACTAATCTAACCTAACCCACCTTAACCAAGCCTAACCAACATAATGTGTTCAGAACAAAACCTAAACTAACCTAGCCAAGCCAAACCTAGTCTATCATGTGCAAAACCAAATCTAACCTAACCAAACCTTATCTGACCTACGGAAACCTTCCCCGCAGGCCCCCAGAACCAGGTGAGGTGCGGCCCCCAGTGTTCGTTACAGCCTCAGAATCCCATACAGTTCTGGACCGTGTTCAGGATGATATTCCTCCTGTCTAAGATGGCCCAGTGTGTCACCTTCTACATGTGAGTATCTCTGGGACACTGGTAGTGAAAGAGAGGGAGAGACGAACGGAAAGGTGAGGAAAGGAGCGAGGAAAGGATAAGGTAGAAAGGAACGAATGAGAGAGGGTTGAATTTTGAGAGACAGAGAAGCAGACATAGAGAATGCATAAGGATTGTAGATGCATAAGCGTATCCCAAACAATATTGGCAGATTTGATGACGTATTGTTTGTTTATCATGAGGCATTATGGTAGACCGTCGATGTGTAGTGTCACCATTTTTTATCAATTCACGAATTATCAGACTTGGTCTGTTCTTTGTTATAATCTTTATTGTCCAGTGTCATTAAAGGAGAAAACCAGTCTACCCACCTGCAATGTTTGGTAGGGTCACACACTCACACTGGAAAACAACCTTTTCACATTTTTTCTGGGCTGTGGACTGAACCGTAAACGCAGTTGTGAGAGATACGCGCGTTACCCTATTTTGATGCACGGTAGGATATATAATAAGTACACTCTCAAGTTCGATATTTGAGTTATTTATCAACATGAAATATATCATTACACTGACTGTTATGGTCCTCATTTTCGACGATCTCCCAGAATGGTAAACAAACGTGACGTCATTGGTTAAACAGTTTTTTTACACGCCCTCTTGCCCCCTCTCCTTATGTATATACTAAAAGTCATGGGTCACCCTTACTTCCTTGTACAGAGTAATAGTGAAGCGGCTACAGCGTCTACAACACCCAGAGCACTTCCGTAACCAGAGGAACGCCAGCTCTAGGCAAGGCAGGGTGAACCTGTTTGCAACGCTCATACTGTACATCGCTCACTTCTTCTTTATCGGTAAGTCGTCACGTGTCTTTATCGGCAGCTCCATGTGTATTATCGATATGTTTTCCAATCTAGTATCGGTATATGTTTATAGGTATTATCGTTAAGTCTTCTAGTGTGTTATCGGTAAGTTTTCAAGGCAATTGTAGGGTCTCAATTGTTTCTCTTACATGACAACGCAACATTCATACAGCGTTTCTCACTATTTTTTTTCATTCTTGTATTTCTTTATTTATTATTATTATCACAGTGTTGTTATTATTATTATTATTACCATTAATATTTTATTTTACTTTTTATTATAAAGTTTATTTACTATGAATTATTATCCTTATTACATTTTCGCCCCCCGGGCCCCGATGTGGGTCAGTGACCTGTGCCCGGGTGGGCTAATCCCCGTAAAAAAAAAATTATTTGGGGTAATATCGGTAAGTCTCATGGTAAGTTACCGGTAAGTCTTCATGTATGTTCAGCAAGTTCCCCTGGGTATAAATGGGAGAAAGATCATGGAATATTTGGTACGTTAAAGACATCCTTAACCATGCCGTGACTGTCTTGTGCAGTAACGACAACAGCTTGGCCTAAAAACAAAACAAAAAATAAATAAAAATAAATAAATAAATAAATAAAATCGATAACAACAATGCCCGTTTCCAATTCGGGTAAAAAAGTTATAGCCGTCTTGTAATAATTTTCTTTGGTAAGTTTAGTTTTTATATTACTTTATATGCAAAATAGTCATAATTTATTATTTACTGTATATATATATATATATATATATATATATATATATATATATATATATATATATATATATATATATATATATATATATATATATATATCTTGATCTCATCGTAAGTCGAGGGTTCAGATTTTCAAGGTTGCGTACGATGTACAATCCTAGTAAACGATGTCAAAATTCACTTAATTTAAGCTACAACGTGAAATAGTATCGAAAAGCAGCATTGGAATTAACCGAAGTTTATATCTTAACCAGTTAAGTTCATTTAAGAGACGAAATTAATGTACCTTTATTAATGTGCGTAATCTTGAGGGAAACGTGTAAATACTGTACATTTTAATTAATATCACCAATTACGTAGGATATTTATCATGCAAATTTCTGTGAATCCAAACTTTGGATATTATACCATGTCGCATTCTATTAGTATTCAAATCCAGCTCTTTTTTATACGAGTTAGGCAGAAAGCCTGCCAATCACCACACATCTTGCATCAGAAATCCAGGCATTTATTCGGTACCCTGCTCTCGACATCCCTTTTTTATACAAACTATCAAATACTTAAGTGTTTCGTAAGAGATGCGGCGTCAAAAATCTGGACCATTATCACCCTGATAACACAAATCCATGATAACGCAAATCATAAATATTATCCTCATCAATTCGAGCTAAGGAGACAGGTAAGCTACCGGTCCTTCATAATTCCGAGACTGATTAATTGCTTGATTGATGCTCTGGTACTTTTAAATGTATATCTGATTATCATTACCAAAGAATAATGATCATATTATTTTGATTGATGCTGACATGTAAGGCTGTTGTTGCTGTTTTTTTATTTAGGTGCTTCAACTGTCAAAAATATTAAAGCACCAAGTACAAGTCTTGGTTTCTTACAAGATCATTTTAAAGGCTAAGAAATTTTGTCTTCAAAGGTAACGGTAACAGATGAGGAATAGGTTACTGCCATGAAGAACGTTACCTTAATTCTTTACAGTAATAATGTGTTAAAAGTAACGGAAGTGCCAAGTCTAATTGTTTTTACTATTAATAGAAGTAGTACTGTAGTAGTAGTAGTATTGTATTAATATTTATAAAAATAATAATCATAATAGTTAGAGTATAAGCAGCTAAAGTAAGCGATGCGTTAACTGTTAAGTCTTCTGAAAGGACGTGATGCCACACTAAAACTTTTTGCCCCTTTTAACAAATCTCAATGATTATTAAATGCATTTTTGCTTGAGCTATTATTCTCTTAATTTATTTTCCACTTTACCATCACAGTTTATATTGTTTTCCAAAATAAAAATAAAATTCTACCTGTTTAAGTTCCTGTTGTCTAACATAATTTTTATTTTAGGGTTTACTTTCTCTTTGGAAATCACCATTACTTCTATCTTTACAGTAGTCATTCTAAGTCCATATTTTACACCTGTTTCCTCTAAATTGTTTGCCTTTTTTTTTAGTGTTTCTTCAGTATCTGTAATAAGAGCAGTATCATGTGCATATCGAATATTTTATATTACTTTACCATCCACTTCAATTCCTTCACTACTACTTAGATATATAGTGTTAGAAAGAGCATGCATCCTCATCTAACTCTAACTTTAAACCCACTTGGCTTCAAGGACAAAATCCTTTCGCAAGGCAGGAACTGTCTGTATTAAAATACATTCTCTGAAAGTCAGCTTTTTCATTCTAAGCATTATAATTCGACATTATTTCACTTGTAGCCACTAAACGAATCTCGGGAATTTTTAGTTGAATCAGTGTTTTTTTCAATTCTACGACACTTTTCTTCAATGGCATTTCTGGCGCAAATTACGTATAAGCGAGATATTTAACATTTTATTATGTGTAATCGTATGTGGCGGTACACCCAGAATATGGAACGACTGTGGAGCCCCCGGTTAAGATAGGTTAGGTGAGATTGTCAGTATTGGTCGATTAGGTTAGGTTAGAATCAAAACTGTTTTTGCGATGGTTTTTTATGTGTTTTAAACGCCTTTTACCTTGACTTTTATAGCAAATCTTTAGATTCTGAGATGAGAGGAGGCTTATCTCAGAAACTATTAATTTGCGCCAGAAATGAAGGTCAAATTCGTTCATAACATCAAAAACCATAGGAAAAAGTTTCATCTTCGATTACATTTAGTGGCAAAGGAATGAAAATTTACCTTCAATTCTGTTATCTATTAAGATACTTCAATTATTTAAAGTGCCATCTAAGGAAGGTTAGGTTTGGTGCCTAGGGATTAATGGCAAGCTAGGTTTGGTTAGAAGGCATAATAGGTTATGGTAAAGAACATGATCTTCATGTTTCTACCAAAACAACACAACTCTTTTATTAAAAAAAAAAACATTCCAAGAAACACTTCAGCCGCACTTGTAAATATCTGCCTAAGGTTGCAGCCAAAACCTTTATTTTGTTTTTAAATATGTTATCTAATACAGAATCATACCAACCTTTATTTTTTAGAAGACTATTCTCAGCATTGCGTATTTCAGCATTAGAAATCCTTGAACTACTGATAACTGGTAGTTTTATCAGGTATGGCACTTGGTTTCAGATCCTGGAAATGTTTGGCGGGATCACAACCCAATAAATTATATTTTAATTTCGAACTTTCTATCCACTACGATGTTGTTCACATATCACTGCATTTTTCACGTTAATTAAGACTACTCTAAGGCACTGTTGCACCCAAACACGGCACACTCTTCCTTGCATATCAGTAACGTGGTTATTACTATATAGTTATTTTTTCTTGGTGCAATTCCATGATTTACTTTCAGTTATACAGTAGTCACCTAATTTTAAGAAATATCTATATTTGCACCGAAACTCACTGTTTTCACTGCTTTAACACTGTATTGTGCACCAGCTACACTGTTTACATACGGATCATAACCCTATATGACGTGTTCCAATACCCAGCTGTGCATCTTTTTTACGGGCACTAGCTCACCCGGGCAAAGGTCATTTTATAATGATCCACATCAAGGCCTGGGGTCGAAAATAATAATAATAATAATAATAATAATAATAATAATAATAATAATAATAATAATAATAATAATAATAATAATAATAAAATTAATGAAAATAAATAACAATTATATTAAAAGAAAATATTAATAATACTTATAAAAATTAATAATAATAATAATAATAATAATAATAATAATAATAATAATAATAATAATAATAATAATAATAAAGAGCCACAAATAAAAAATAAATAAAAAAACAAGTGGGAAATGATATATGTACAGTATGTTGTGTCGTCATAGTAAGAGAAACAATTGAAACTCTGCAGTTGTGTGTAAATGAGGCAGAAAGTCAGATCAGCAACCTGGGACTTAGTCACAATTTTTGTGGTGCCATATGCCATATAACTTCCCAGGGGCTAGTACCTGTTTGATAGCTGCCTACTACACACTGTATATCTACTGCATTTGTTGAATATTCATACTTTAGGTATAATCTATGTACATCTAACATACAGATACATGGAATACATCCTCACGTTTTCTCAATATCTAGATGGTTCTTGTATCTTAACATTGAAAATTCGTAGCTATTTATAGTTCAATTTCGTGAGGTGTCTGTCTAGCCATAGGTGTTTGTAATACCACACAAAAGACGTCTGTGTTAATGTCGTTAAAGTTGTCCTGTCGACAATGTAAATTTCGTAAAATTTCCCGTGGCGAACACTTGTGCACGTAAACAAATCAATGTTTTCTGCAACTCAGAAATCAACTCCAATTTTCAATAACCTTGACTTTTCCCCAAAACTGACGGTAACATTAGATGAATTGGTTTGACCACGTAATACAGTATAAGGTTTAACTCAAGTTATGTTAAATTTGATCATACAGAGAGTATGGTAGTAGGTAGTAGGCAGCTACCAAACAAGTAGGTACTGTGGGGTTATGGGTGGTTTGGTTCAAACTCAGGATGGGATGGAGGAAGGAAACTCACAATGTGCTCTGTATACATGTTGTATTGGATGTACAATGCAGCTTGGTGCTAGGAAGTGGCAGCGTGGTTACAAGCGTGATGTAGAGAGAGCTGGTTGGTGAGGATGCTCAGAGGACAGCTTGTGGGTCGCCATGCTCACCGGCGGGAGCGAGGGCCGCCAGGCAGCGGCGGAGGAGGAGGTGTAGCTTGCTGCGGCTGTAGCTAGAAGAAGAGGGAGGGCACCACGAGGTCAGGTCTTAAATAGCGGGAGTAGGCGTGGCTTAGTAGTTGACCTCCGTGATATATGGCGGCGCTGGTTGACCCAGACCACGAGGCACACACTGGGGAATTCGCGGGGTCGGCTACTCAGCGACAAACAGCATTTGTAGGGGAGAAATCCACTACAATACTCCCTCCTTCCCTCCAGGCGGTGTAGGAGACTTGTTGTCTGCAGGGGTGCATGGCACATGTGAGGCAGAACGGGCAATGCATGCCACATGTGAGCAATAACGGCGAGGGCATGGATGAGCCGGCCGCTAGAGGAGACAACTGTCTAGATACACAATATCTGTGGGAGTAGAGAGGGAGAAAAAGGGTGTGTGGAGACGATGAATGTTGTGCTTCCCTCACGGCAGGTACAGAGTCATCAGATGCTCCTGCTGGGGTGTGTGGGCCTGGGTCAGGAGCAGGGACTGCGTCAGCAGAAGCGGATGAGGGCTCGTGACAGCAGCTGGGTCCACGACAGCAGCAGGGTGCAGGAAAGTAGCAGGGAGTACCTGAGGGAGAAAAGAGGGGTGTGTGGGTCCACACTCAGGCGCATGGGCCGCGTCGGGAGCAGGGGCTGCATCAGGAGGAGCGGCAGGGGGTACTGCTGGGCCGGGGGCGGCGTCTGAGGCAGGACGGGTGTGCTGGGGTCGGTAGGACGTGGTGCTTGGGGCAGGAAGAGGAGCGGCTGTCTGCTTAGAGTCGCAGAGCTGCTCTAGGGTGTCTAACCTGCGGTGTAGAGACAGTAGCTGTAGAGCCGATGAGAGCTGCTTCTGGGTGGATAAGCCAGTCTTCCATATTGCTTGAAGACTGGGAGCGTGATCGGTTTCTCCTCCATCCTGTGTGAGTGCGAATCTCCGGGGGTCACCATTTGCGGGGTTATGAGTAGTTTGGGTTCACACTCAGGATGGGATGGAGGAAGGAAACTCACAATGTGCTCTCTGTATACATGTTGTATTGGATGTACAATGCAGCTTGGTGCTGGCAAGTGGCAGCGTGGTTACAAGTGTGATGTAGAGAGAGCTGGTTGGTGAGGGTGCTCAGAGGAGGACCAGCTTGTGGGTCGCCATGCTCGCCGGCGGGAGCGAGGGCCGCCAGGCAGCGGCGGAGGAGGTGGTGTAGCTTGCTGCGGCTGTAGCTAGAAGAAGAGGGAGGGCACCACGAGGTCAGGTCTTAAATAGCGGGGGTAGGCGTGGCTTAGTAGTTGACCTCCGTGATGTATGGCGGCGCTGGTTTACCCAGACCACGAGGCATACACTGGGGATTCGCGGGGTCGGCTACTCAGCGACAAACAGCGTTTGTAGGGGAGAAATCCACTACGGTACTACCGCCAGGGAAAATATTGGAAGCATAATGTGTTGTCTAATGGTAGACCCTGCTGCTGTCATGTGGCATCACGAAAATTGTGACCAAGTCCCAGGTTGCTGATCTGACTTTCTGCCTCATTTACACACAATTGCAGGGTCTCAATTGTTTCTCTTACTATTGACAACACAACATACAAACTGGATATTGTTTCTCACTTTTGATCTCTTTTATCATTTCTTTGTGGTTCTTTAGTATTATTATTATTATTATTATTATTATTATTATTTTATTTTCAATTTTGTTTTTATTTTATTATAAATTTCATTTACTATGAATTATTATTATTATTATTATTATTATTATTATTATTATTATTATTATTATTATTATTATTATTAATATTATTACATTTTCGCCCCCCAGGCCCCAATGTGGGTCTGTGACCTGTGCCTGGGTGGGCTAATCCCCGTAAAAAAAAGGGGGGTTATTTCAACGCTAGGCAGGTTTGGTTAGGATAATGTAAGAGTAGGTTAGATTAGCTGAGTTGGGGATAAATTTGATTAAAACTGGTTGGGATAAAAAAAAACTAGGTTGAGTTCCGAAAGTAAAAGGGACAAAACTTTACTGTATTGACGTACGACAGGGTCCCGGGTGATAGGGTACAGCATGGTGGATACCGCGTGGGGTGGTTGGGTGTACCTCATCGTGGGCGCTCACTGGCTCCTCAACACCGCCTGGCACCTCATCACCTTACTCAACTCTAACGGCATCACAGCAGCCAGGTATGTAAGTCTTCGTTAGACTTGAGCACTAATGTTCACATATAAAACGACAATGAAAAGTGGTGCATAAAATTATAATTACTGAACTAAAAATAATAGGACTGTGTTTTCCTAAATATTCAATACTAATCACTTACAGTATTTCATATTTCTCGAAATTTTAATTTTTAGAATTAATATAAATCTTGGTGTGAAATATGGTATCAGCTGGTAATTTTTTAAGTCTGCATCTAGAAAGCACACCTTGTACAGTATGCTGTATAACATTTCTATAACTATGTGTAGCCTATTAACTCAGTAGTGTGTCAAAGTACAAGGTCATGAACAAGGTTTTAAGATCATCTGATCAATCAGTCTTGTGTCAAGGAGCGTCAGTATGTCACCCACTTACTGTTACAGGTCAATTTTATGTTCCACATTATTTAGGACACTAGACTGTGATAAAATTATTATTAACCAGCTAGTTTTTGTTGAGATGTTTTAGTAATATAATCTTATAACCTTAGCTAATTACCGGGGTATTACCCTAACAATTATGCAACATTCGGTAAAAAAAAATCATCCAGTTATGGAATATCAAGCAAGACAACACCCTCGGGCAGCAAGGAAATGTCCTATTTTCCCAACTAGTTTAGAGCAATAGATATCCCCACACTCGTCACAGCGAGGATTGAGGTTAAAGAGATAAGAGACCGAGATAAAACTTTTTTTTCTCTAAATGGGGTAGATATATCTTATCGCCGCCTTGGTGTTGAATAGTCGTATAAAACTCGGCTACAACTTCATAAAAATAGTTACGAACATATACAGTACAAATGCTATAGTTTAACATAATAATTTATACTGCTATTATTTTAGGTTCTATTAAAAAAACTAAACACGCATAACTCCCATATATATCTTTTATATAAATATTTTTTTGCTAATTAAGAGCACACATTACCGGGTCCCCAGTAATACTCGTCCAACATGGTCCCACTAACTCATCCATCAGGTCCTAAGCAACATTCATCCACCAGATCCCCAGTAACACTCATCGCCCAGGTCCCTAGTAACACTCATCCACCAGATCCCCAGTAACATTCATCCACCAGATCCCCAGTAACACTCATCCCCCAGGTCCCTAGTAACACTCCCTCACCCAGGTCCTAGTAACATCATCACTGGTCCCAGTGGCACTCATCCCCCCAGGTCCCTAGTAACACTCATCACAGTCACAGTAACCTCATCACCAGATCCCCAAGCCGCCTCTATTCCCAGGTCCCTGACACTCATCCTGGGTCACAATGTATTCATCCACCAGGTCCCCCAGTAACACTCATCCCCCAGGTCCTAGTAACACTCATCCACCAGATCCCCCAATGCCCTCATCCCCCAGGTCCTAGTAACACTCATCCACAGATCTCCCATGTACACTCATCCCCCCAGGTCCTAGTAACACTCATCCACCAGATCCCCAGTAACACTCATCCCCCAGGTCCCTAGTAACCTCATCCCCAGGTCCCTAATAACACTCATCCACCACCAGATCCCCAGTAACACTCATCCCCCCAGTCCTGGTAACCTCATCCCCCCAGGTCCCTAGTAACACTCATCTGATCTGATAACATTCATCCACAGATCTGATACTCATCCTAGGTCCTAGTAACAATCATCCACAGATCCCCAATGTTAATTATACAGGTCTGATAACACATCATCTGGAATCACAATAACACTCATCCACCAGATACAGTAACATAATCCCCCAGGTCCTAGTAACACTCATCCACAGAATCTGATAACACTCATCCACCAGATACAGTAGCATTCATCCCCGTTCCTAAATGCCTCATCCCCCAGGTCCTAGTAACACTCATCCCCAGATCCTAAATAACACTCATCCACCAGATCCCAGTAACACTCCATACAGTCCCTAGTAACACTCATCACAGATCCCCAGTAACACTCATCCACCAGATCTGATAGCATTCATCCTAGATTCCCTAGTAACACTCATCCCCCCAAGTCCCCAATAACACTCATCCACAGATCCCCAGTAACACACTCATCCCCAGGTCCTAATAACCTCATCCCCCAGATCCCCTAATGCTTACTCATCCACCAGATCCCCAATGTACTCATCCCCAGGTCCCTAGTAACACTCATCCCACCAGATCCCCAAAGTAACACTCATCCACAGATCCCCCAGTAGCATTCATCCCCCAGGTCCTAGTAACACTCATCCCCCCAGGTCTAGTAGCTTACTCATCCACAGATCCCCAGTAACATTCATCTTAGATCCCCCAGTAGCATTCACCCCCAGGGCCCTAATGTAATCACAGATCCCCAATGCCTCATCCCCCAGGTCCTAGTAACACTCATCCACCAGGTCCCCAGTAACATTCATCCACAGATCCCCAATAACCTCATCCCCAGGTCTAGTAACACTCATCCATCAGGTCCCCAGTAACCTCATCCCCCCAAGTCCACAGAACACTCATCCACTAAGGTCCTAAATCAACATCCACCACATCCCCGATAGCACTCATCCATCAGGTACCAATGTAACTCATCCTGTCAAGGGCCCAAATAATACTCATTTCTTCTAAGTCCTAAGTAACACTCATCCACCAGGTCCCAAGTAATGGTAGTCCACCAGGCCTTAAGTAACACTCATCCATCCTCTCCTAAGTAACTCATCCATCAGTTCCTAAGTTACACTCATCCACAGGTCCTTTGTAACATATATCCACTTATGATGCACCAGCTTCGGGTGTACAGTATATAACTTGTCTCTTCAGGTCTGTATGGGTCCCTAATAATGCGTTGGGGTGACGATCACCCTCGCAATGAGCAAATTGGGCGGCTTCGCTAGGTCGATTCATCTTGTACTACATGCTTGCTTTCTTTGAGAGTGCTATATGTGGATACCTTTGGAACATTGCAATATGGCAATCAGAGCTTCTTACCTTTGTTAAAATTGTTTTCTTTTGGTCCAGCTTACTTGTGCCCTAGTGAAAGTGATTTTCATGCATGAGGAACTCTTTTTCAGGTGTGGTTCAATTCAGCATCTGAGTGCCTAGTGGTCGAATATCCCAAAAAAGGCTATTATACTTGGTGCCAGCACTTAAACACCTCACATACCAAGTTTATATCATAACAAAATATTAGGATTAAACATTAAATGTGTTTGTACAGTCTCCCCAAAAAGTATCGTTGTATAGGGGTCGATGTGATTCTAGGCTTTCTGAGCAATGTTACTCGACCTGTTTCTGAACGGTTGGTAGTTCTACATACGTAGCCTTTGTGCATGAATGAGTGTATACGTTTTCTCAATAATACATACATTAATATAAGCTTAATGGGCTTTAACATTAAATTGAAGTACAGTACTCTAATATGCCATACAAGGATGACTCCCTCCTCAATCCTACCCCCCACCTCGTTTATTTGCGTGCCGGTGAGCAGGCATAAACTTCGATGATACACGAGGATCATAATAAACGTACGTGTGGCATTTTCAAACTGTAGTGACAGAAACTCTAATGATACTTTTTGAGGGGACTGGCCTCAGTGGGGCATTATTTAGACTTAAACAAATTTGTACATACAGTATAGTATTGTATTCAGGCATACCCCAATAACTGTGGGATATAGGGACCGAGAAAAGTCGTTGGTTAGTGAATGTGGTTATAACAAATTCAGGGGGTTAGGAACCGGCCATCCCCCCAAAACTCATCTACCCTTGATATATCTATGCTGCACTGTTAAGTGAAAATAAAGCAGACATATAAAACAAAACAAGTAAGTATTGAATAAGGAGTATAAGCATAAATTGAGGCTGTTATTTACCTGTATTTAGGATAGGAGAGACAGTCTAGAATTGCTTTTGATTCCGACTCTGTCTTTACTTTGATCCGTACCCTCTTGTATACATATCACATCACATCAATCTTCCCTAAGGGAACAGCTGGAAAACTATCACTGGGGCATGTTGCATAACACGGTTGAAATAATGAAAAAACACAAAGTCGGATACACAGGTAAGTGTAGCTTAAATTACTGGGGCGGGAATGAGTCAGAGGTAGCATGTAGAGGCCCATTAGTGCAGAAATTCACACCACGCCACATACATCAAATTCAACAGCTCTGCTTCCTCTCCTGATCTTCGACTCTCTGGGATATCATAAAACTGCAGGGTATTTCCGCAATGTGTAATTATCGATTATGTGAATCGGCGGTTAATGGGATGTCGGTTTCGGACTATATCTGTATGAAAATTAGCTGTTGCTCCATTAAAGAATGAGGGTTCAAGCTAAAAGAACCTATGAGCAATAGAAATTGTCAAATTTGGAATTCTTTTTTGGGTGATGGTTGTGACCAAGTGGACTAATCTATCAATGAATGTTGCAAGACATTAAGACCTTAATTGGTACATTACAATTTAGACCACTATTAGCACATGTTCAGGTATAGTCAAGAGCCTGTGAGTGTCTCGTTCAATACCAGCATACCGTGAGAGATAAATTGCTGATGGAATGGCTAGTAATCTGTGAAGTGACAAAGATAAATAAGTACAGTAAGAGATGAGGCATTGTTACACATCTTACATGTCTTTAATGCTTGTGTTTCACTTTTTGTATTCCATCTCAGTATCCTTAAAATTAATGACGCCTACAGTACTTGGCCATATTGTAAAAAATATGATTATTTATTTATTTTATTTATTTTTGCATCCAAATTTTTTTATTTAATTGTTCATATTTATTCAATTGTTGCTTTACCATTAATCATATTTAACATTTCGGTGTGTATATGTGCTAAAGAAGTAATTCAATACTATACACATTACTATATTAGAGGATTAGATTACTTCACGAGATGCCAGCAAAAATAATACCCCAAATAATACATAATTCAGGTTTTACAAATTTCTCTTCACCACAATTTAATTTTTTTTCACACTGCATCAAGCTTAACTTGATTTGCCAACAGCCATCCATCCTCCTACACTATACTTTACCAAGTTACACAATTAAGAATATGCA